TATTTATTTTTCCCATAACTCTTCCCCTTTTTCATTTTTTTTCCCTTCTCTTTTCTTTCTTTCTTCTTCTTCTTCTCATGCAGAGACGACCCCACCCCAAAATAGATCTCTCGACTCTTCTCCCAATTTCTTATCAATGTCCAGACAACTTCTTAAAAATTCTTATTTACTCTTATGTTCCCTATTCTAATTTCTTTCTCACTCCCCAGGCCTCCGTTATGGTCGATGGTGTTTGCGGAAAGCTCCACGGCTGCCCAGTGACTGGTAATGGAGGCGGGGTTTAGTGGCGGCAGTCGAAGGACTCGACTAAGGCTAAGAAGGTCGGCGATTCGCAGCTGATGAAGTTTGGTGTTGCTCTGGTGTGCGGTTTTGGACTTTCGCGAGGGCCCAATCTTGCCCACTTGAACGACGACAGGGTGCGAGTGCGTTTCGGTTGATTCGAATCAACCCGGGTTACGTTCGGGTTTGCGTACCGTTTCGACAGAGATTAAATAAAATGTATTGGGGATTTAAAAATGTGATGCTTTAATGACGATGAATTAGATGGCTACGGGAAAAACTAAGGAAAATGAATATCAAATTTTTATTTTACCTTCTGAAACTTGCATTTGACGAAGGTTGCATGCGGTTTCTATAATTTAATTCACTTTAAAAAATTTAGAAAATTTCAAAACAAATATCTTCCTAAGAAAAGGAGTTAAAATAGGGGTGTATACTAATAAGCTGAATTTCATTTTTTAATTAACCAAATCTTTTCATAAAAAAGAGGAGTTAAAATAGGGGTGTAATAATAAATTGAATTTCGTTTTTTCCTATTCAAACTCAAATTAAAAACTTTAGGCGGGATTTGTGAAATAAATTCAAAAAAAATTTCCAGAAAAGGTAATTTTCAAATAATTGAGTGGAAAAAAACTTACTAAAATTGTATTTTTTTTTTCTTTAACTCTTTTACACAGCAAATGAATGATTGTGGAAGCCCTTCTCTTCGTTTAGACACTTGTAGTCTGTAGATCATCCAGAATTGCGTTCCGGGCACCCGCTTTACTCTTATCTCAAAAGGACACTGGCACTTGTTGGTTTTCGATTTTCTAGAAGCAACATCTACCTTCTTCTTGCCTCTATAACGTTCGCCTCGTTTGCACTTCAAGATTTTCAACATTCCTCCTTTTGTGTGTTTCGAAATAGTCAAATTGAAACCATTCAGAAGTGCCGTACTTTTTGCATCATCAATCGCAGCCTCATCACTAACAAAAAATGTAGTTGTATTGAAAGTGAAATTGTAATCAATACCATCTCCTCCAAAATCTTCCAAGGACACCTGCAATATATTACAATATTTCAAACATGTTAAATTATAATATATATAACATAATAATTTATAACTCCTAACACGATAATATCTAACGTTCAATTTATAACTCCTAACGCGACTTGCGAGTTTAAAAGAGCCGAAACAGCCAAAATTCGCGACTCGCTAGCCGAAAGTCGCGAGTCGCGAGGGCATTCGCGACTCGCGACATCATGTCGCGAGTCGCGAGATCATTCGCGAGTACTCTCGCGACTCGCGAGACGAGGTCGCGAGTCGTGAGATTCTGGCACTTTTGCCTCTGTCCAACTCGCGACTCGCGACTTTCGGCTCGCGAGTCGCGAGATTATGTCGCGACTCGCGAGATAAGGTCGCGACTCGCGAGTTTGACAGAGCCAAAAAATCCAAAATTCGCGCTGCGCGACTTCATCTCGCGAGTCACAAATATTGTCGCTAGTCGCGAATACACTCGCGACTCGCCAATTAATCTCGCGGTTCGCCAGATTTGGGTGTTTTCCTATGCTAAACTCGCGAGTCGTGAGTTTTACAGAGCCAAAACTGTTAGATTCGGTTTCTAACTCCTAAAGCAATAATATCTAACGTTCAATTTATAACATAATTATTTCGACTCGATAACATAATAATTTCTAATCCCTAAAGCAATAATATCTAATGTCCAATTTATAACATAATTATTTCGATTCGATAATATAATAATTTCTAATCCCTAAAGTGATAATATCTAACGTCCAACTTATAACTCCTAATAGGATAATATCTAACGTCCAATTTATAACATAATTATTTCGATTCGATAATATAATAATTTCTAATCCCTAAAGCAATAATATCTAACGTCCAATTTATAACATAATTATTTCGATTCGATAACATAATAATACTTAATCCCTAAAGCAATAATATCTAATGTCCATTTTATAACATAATTATTTCGACTCGATAACATAATAATTTCTAATCCCTAAAGCAATAATATCTAACGTCTAATTTACAACATAATTATGTCGAATTTATACCACAATAATAATTTCTATAACAAAATAAATTCTAATAATATTTATTTTAAAAAAAAAAAGGTGTCCGGCCGGTC